TCGCTCTTTTGTTCAGTCTTTAATCCTCCTGGGTCCACTGGCATCTTATTTTATTGAGAACTGAGCTGTGATGATGCAACTGGCATACAATTTTGCCAGGTACTGTGAGTACGGCAGAAGTGTTATTCCATACATATTTATTCCTCACCAACTCTTTAAACTAAATAGAAAAATCTATATCCCTTTGAAATGTTTAGCACCGCTGACTCCCACACAAAATGCATTATTTGAAAACCACTGCTGCAGTTTGATTTCCATTTTCATTATTCCTCTCCACGTTTCCTGCTGTTAAAATCCCTTCAGCATATCATTTTCTTCTAGTGTGCCAAACATGAATACATCCCCCACCCTATGTACTGTAAATCTATCAATTAACATATATGAATAAAAACACTAACGAAAAATCTGTTTTGATGTCCTATGTTCATGTCGTACTTAAGTCAATACTAGCATCCAGTTGAAAGAAATTAGAAAAAAGGAATATATTTAAAAGAATACAGTTTTGGTCATTTTTTAAAAGTTTTTTTTGTGTTCATGAAAATAGATGGAGCAGCTCTTATGTCATACAGTATTACACAAAATAAATATGAGGAATGTTTGATAAAAATATACAATTAGTCGAGCTGCAGTTTATGAAGGATTTGAAGATATTGTGCCTGTGGATGTTTCCAAATTGCATCTGTAAAATAATTTTAAAAATCTGTTGGTTGACCATGAAGGCAGCACTTTCAAGAGTTTTTCGGGTTTTTTTTATTATTATTTGCTCTGTGGAGTCAGTAATCATCTTCTTTTAAGGTGCAAACAAATTTTGGGTGGAAAAAAAAAAAATCATTTACCTTTTATAGGGAAAGTAAACATTTTTTGGTCAACCCCCACCCCCCTCAGTATGCATTATTTTGGCATATTTGACCTACTGTAAATTAAGTTTTAAAAAAGCGATTTGAAAAGTAAAGCAGTTTTTTTAAATACATCTGCCTTTTTCACTCAGTGAGTGTTTTTCATTAATTTCTTATTTAAAAATTTGTTTTTTTTAACACATTAGAGCAAGTGGCCGTTTTTAATTACATTGACCTTAATTATTGCCATCAAAATACTCACTTTTTAAATGTAACAAAAGTAATAAGGTCTTTCCTTGTTTTGCAAAAACACTCTTAGCTTAACATTTTGACCTGTGCCCCATAAAGGGTAACTACAATCTGCTCTTTTGCTGAAAAGTTAAATAATAAAACAGAAGTTCTTAGAAGCCTTTTTATAGAAATATATGAATACTGAGGGTTCTCCTTTTTCTTCTTAACCAGACTTTTTTCCAATGCAATTATCCTGCACCCAAAATAACTCTGGTACCACTTAAAGCTCTGCAGGAGTCTTGTTCTATACAATAAGCCAATAAAGACAGGATAGTAGAGACTCAATAAGGACACTGCGCTTCAGTTTATCAGCGGTCCTGCTTTCTTTAGGTGTCATCCAGGTGACAGTGGGAGCTCCTCTTGTGTCACCGCCAGCCAAACAAAATCAAAGAAGAGTTAAAAACTCATTTAACCTGGTAATTAAATTTTAATGGTGGACGTAAAGCAATCCGACACCCACTTAAAGCAGAAACCATGTCTGCAACACTAAGAGAGAAGGAACTCCTTCACTACTTAGCAAACCACATATTCAATATTTCAATGTGACAAAAGTATTTCCACAAAAATTGTAAAGAATTTCCCAGCAGCAGCAGACCAAACCAGAAAAACCTAATTTACAGAAGACTTAAATATTTATAAAATGAACAACATCTTGCCTTATTTTAGAAAAGGAGAATCTAAATTTTACATGCAATTTGAGAAAAAAAGGTCATGCTGAGTCTATCAGGCTCCAAGAGTCCAATAATTTATCCACAGACTAACGGTGGGAAGCCTAAATGAAAAACAGCATGACAGAATGAAAATACTGCTGGATAAATATTAGCAGCAATGAACAGATGAAAGTCGAGGAGTCAGGCATGCTGTTCAATGGCTGAAAAGCTCTAAAGCCGTATGGCAGCATATGCATCATTTATAAAACTCACCCATTAGTTGGAATAAATGTGTATTATTGTCAATGAGAAAAAAAGAAAAAGCATAAAATATTTTATTCACATGCAAATTATCTGCACTGCACTGCAGTGCAAGACTCACTGAGAAAGTAAGTAAACCAGGAGAGCAAAGTTTAGCACTTTTTTGTTCCTATCAGTCGTACCACCTGTGCAAAAGCAAGTAGACTGCCAGAGAGAAAAGTGTATCAGGGAGACAAATTCTCAAAAATCATAAAAGCCCAGAGAAACCCTTTGAACCTTTCAGACCCCGTGATGGTCCGCTAAACAGAACGGATTGCCTCCCGGCCACAATGGAGCTTAATCACTGCTTGAATGTTTGGCAGCATTAACTGATGAGCTAAGCTGCCTGCCTGCACTGAAACTTTAACCGGTGAAAGAGAAAGCACAGAATATTCACTCTGGAACCACAGCCTGTACTTTCCAGGCCGTAGTACCAATGTTTACCATTACAATTAAAATTAAACTGAAAAGAAGAAATCTGGCATCTTCTGGACATTTTTAAGCATTTTCAGTTCATTTTCAGTCTTAAAGTGATAATATTGTGTGGATGCCAGGACTGAAGACAGAAACAATTTGCATCTATTGGATCTATCTAAACATATCCTGATGACTCAGCATTATGGTTTTCTGTACTTAGAGAATACAATATTGTATAGATAATATGAAAAATGTGCACATTAGAAAGTTCATTTTAACTTGATGAAAACTGAATGAATCTACTTATTTTTGCTTGTCACAGAAGGCATCCTTAAATTGAGGATGATGTCACAAAGTGAAATTAATCACATGCAATCGTTATTTTATTGTGCACTGAAAGACAGAAGTGACTTCATGTTCAAGTAGACCTTCAGAAACTAATCAAAGTTAATGCGATGTGAGAAATTCATTTTCCTGGTCGCACTAAATGCACTGTTGGATCACATGGGTTGTGTGTGTAGAGCTGCAACTAACGATTATTTTGCAAATAGATTAATCTGTCGATTACTTTTTCAATTAATCAATTAATTATCAGATAGCCAAAGATTCCTCAAAGAAGACTTTTTACAACATTAAAAAATTAAAAATAAATCTTTTCCTCTTGAGGAGTTCTGGATAGAGCATATTGACAGATGAAAAAGTATATATTTTTTTATCTTAAATGCAAAAGGTTTACACATTTTTTTTACAATCTCAGTATAATTACTGCTCTAAGTGGGTTGCTCTGTCAGCTAAAGAAGCTAATTGTTTCAGCCCTATTTGTGTGTCGCTACACAAAGGCAAATTCTCCACACACATCTGCTGAAAAATATATATATCTGCTGTAGAATGTGAGGAACAGAATATTTCAGGAGACCTACATTTTTCCACATCACTGAAGCCTAACATGCATCTCTGTCAACTTTCTAATTCGATTGAAGGCATTACCATCGCAATCAAACAGAGTAAGGAGACACCTTTATTAATTCTTCATTACCAAAACCTCATCCCAACATGTATTTGATTTGTTTTGGAGGAAAGTGATAAAGTTGTGTTGAGGTGAAGAGACCAGTTTGTTTATAATTAACGCTGCATTGCTGATTCTCTACTGTATGTCCACTATTACATTAAGTAGATTGTTTTTGTCTTGTTTGTTTTTTTATTGCATGTGGCATGGATTTTACAGCAGTTATGCAAACATAAAACAAATAAAAAAAAATAAGAATTTATTCTGAAATAAACTTTTTTTCTGTTATATCAAATAATTCCTAAAATAATTACACCACAATGATTACCATCATTAAGATACGTTTTTATCAACTATACAGCCTTTCGTTTGTTTTTTATGTTGTAAAATTTATAATCTCTTATTCAAATTTTTCTGTTTTGCTTTTATCTTTGCCTTTGTGAGTGTGTGTTTCTGTTTGTGGCCATATATTTGTTAGGATAAAACAGGCTGGATGAGAACTCCAGTCCATCTTGCTATCCTGCACCGTTTCTCTTTCAACTGCCACAGAATCCCTGTTAGCGTGAGTCATTTATCTTTGAAATACCTGGACCTTTCATGTAAATATGTCCTCTGGAAGAACACTGAAAATAGGTTATCACTGAATCTTTTAAAAGGAGAGAAATATAAAAAAAATATAGCAGGAGAAAAGTGGTTCATTATATACATTTTTTAATACCGTCAGTGTAAGTGTATTCTTTTGGAGTAAAAGCTGAATTTTTCTGGCTTTCTATCCATTTTAAAAGAGGTTCCAGAAAAATATAAATAGTGCTGTAACTATACAGCAGATATTCACTCTGCTTATTCACGGCTCAAACCAAACACTAAATTGCTTGAATTCATAACAGCTCTTCAACACATTGTGGTAAAAGGTCAAAATGCTGATCAAACAAAACAACTTCCATGACATTTAAGTGTCTCTGGTATTTTTCTAAATGCTCAATCTTTGTTATCAACTTCAAGTTAATGAATTCTCTGCATTTCATTCCTCATTAAATGTAATCCAAAAGATTTCATTAACCTTACCGCTCAAAAGTGTTTGTAATCACTTTGAGTTTAAGCCTGAATATCACACAATATGCATACCATTAGTTAGATTGCAACACTTGCAAATATCCAAGAAAAACTGCAGTTGGACCAGGAAGAGGTACTGCAATCCTTCAGAATAAAACAGCCACTATGCAATCCAGGTTACCCTATCAATCCTGTTTTTCCTCTTTTGTGACAAAACAGATAAAAGGGAGGAAAATGGGATCAAATAGTCTAATATTTACAATCAAAAACAGCCAAACCAGTCAGATTTATTTGAATTGCATTAATCACAATCCATCCACACTTCTGTAAAACCTGAGGAAACTGTAGCTCCTGATGTTCTCCAGGAGAGGGCAGCAAAACACAATTTAGAAGCTGCTCTTTCACCATCCAAACAACAGCCTGAACAAGTTAGATCAAAGTTCCTACCAGCATTGACTATTGCATCCACTTCCAGGACAGTGATATCACCCTTGTAGAGAGACACTTTATCACCGAGGCCACCTCCACCTGTCTGCTCCTCGTCATCTCCTTCATTGTTCTTGGCTGAAGTAACAAAGAGAAGCAAAAGAGATTAATTCCAGAAAGAGTCTCACATCAAACAGGTTATTGAGCATATTTAAAGGAGTCATCCCCCACAAATCTGACATTTTAATGTTAAAACCAGATTGTTGGTTTTGGATTTCATTAAAAAAAAAAAAATCTTTAGAAATAAAGTATGAAAGTGGATGACATTTTGACATTTTTTTATTTTGCTCATTGTTGGGTGTTCAGACCTAATTTTTTTAAGACATGGAGAAACATTAATAAGGTCTTGAAAGAGAACAAGAGGGGATTTTTAATCTGAATTCAGTTGGTCAGATACTCTGGCCACAGTGCAGCCACAATAGATGGCAGTAATATCTCAAACTATTTGCCACTACCTGCCAATGATCCCGAGAAGAAGGCATTGTTTCTGATTAGGGTCACTGCTGTTTAAACAGATATGCCACCCAGGTTTGAGTAAACCGGCCTGTAAGCCTGCTAATTTCTGAAATACCACTTGTTACAGCTTTTGTGAAACAGATTTGTGGATTAATTTGGCCCGGATAGCCATGAAATCCTGACTTAATTCGTTATCTTGGCTTTG